ATAAATAAAACTTAGAATTAAACCATACAGTATGCTTTCTCTTTGCCCTAGGGGGGTCAAGTATTACATTGAAGTATTTTTCTCCCTTCTCCTTTCTTTGTTCTTTCTTAGGCTTTAGTTGGTAACAGCTTACCCCACCTAAATTAGCAATTTGAGATTAACAGTGACCATATGTTGAACATTGTGGAGATTGGCCAATCTGAACAAACATGGTGACTTTTAAACACATGTAGAAATGCGGTTTTTGTGAGAAGTTATTTGTAGGGTAATGAATGCAATTAACATGTGAATACATTAGTTGTCTGTTGCTATTGAATCTGCAGAGCAGTATTGATCTAAAGGAAGTTATATGTATTTAATTAGAATTTGTCCAAAGGATTAGAAAAAACTTACATAGAACTACATGGTGCTAGGTTTTTATTTTTTAAATTTAAAAATTTTTTTTATCTTTAACTAATTAACATTTGAAAACAACTGGTTTTGTATTTTAACATTATTTTTTTCTTCTATGTTTTTGTCTTTTAAAAGAATAAACCTAGGACTGGTTTGGGGCCATAGATACTTTTTAATAGAGAAGTTGGGCTCACTCTCTCTCTCTCTATATATATATATATATTTTTTTTTATTTTGGTATGTTTTTGTGTGTTTGTTTTAAGTTTATTTTTAATCTACAGCTTCTCCACTTAGAAAAAACGTGTTTAGCCATGTAGATTACAGCCTGAACGTGGGGCCTGAGAATGGGGGAATGACAAAGACAGGCAAGTGGATACTCCCTGAGAATAAGCTAAGGAATAAATAGAATAAAAAATAAAGAATGAATAAAATAAAATAAGGAATAATAGAGTAAAATAAAGAACAAACAGTGTAAGAGAAGGAGTGGATTCAATCAGTGTCGGTGTAAAACACGGGGACATAATTGTTTAAAGAGAAAGATATGTATGTCTAAATGTTGTCTTTTATGTTAAAAGCTAGGGGTGATAAAGTTAATATCAAGCAGTTATATCATTTCTTGTATTTCGTGCAGGAAACATGCCTCTAGTTCCTGGAGCAGGAAACCATTAATGAGGAGACCTAAAACAAGGTTGGAGAACAAATCCGGAAACGATATACAACAGAGGGTCCTAACCAGATTCCTGTTTTTGCCTTCTCCCCGTGAAATTTCATTAAAGAGTGCTTGAGACAAAGCTCTCTGGGAAAACCCACAGCTGTCTTAGTAACTTGACTCACAAACACCCTGGAGGAGTATACCTCCCTTCTGCCTAAGAAATCAGAGCCTATAGCTAAGACAAGGATAGAGAGGTGGGACTTGATGAAAACGACAGTCTTTTCGAGTCAGACAGACTTGGGGTGGTAGATTCTGAAGCAGCCATAGAGAGGGAGGAGTGGGAACCACTGCCTTTTGGCCTAGAGCTCCCGTCTCCCTATCCCCTGCTTCCCAGTCAAAATCTACTTTCCAATCAAATGGCGCTAAGACAGAAAAAAACAGCTCTCCACAGAAAGTGTTTCTCTTTTCTGCAGTAGAAAAGTCAACAGACCCTAAGATGGTAATTGATGAGTTTGTCTTACTGAAACCAAAACAGGAAAAAAAAATGCATAATTGTGTGATGATGCTTACACTGAAAGTCTTATTAAGAATAAGACTAGTATTCTCTCACATTTCCTCCTCTCTTATCCTTGTTTCAGCTGAAAAATCCTGATTTGGGGCAGCTAGCAGGATGGATTTGAGACTTTTGTTTGTTTCCCATTTTGTAGCTCCTGTCCCTCACTTTGAATAAAGACCTTCCTCTACCCCAAACTCTGATACCTTCACTATTGACTCTGCTAGTGCACTGGACATATGAACTCAGGTTCAGTAATAATTGGGTTCATTATCATGGCTACTAGAAAATTTCAAATTACATCTGTGCTTTACATTATAGTTGCTGGATGGCATTGTACTAAATGGTTTTAAAAATTTTATGAGTGACAGGAACCTCATATACTGTCATTTTCTTTCTGCCTAGGATTCGGGGTTAGGTGGGCTCTAAGAGTCATTCCCTGACAGGAATACAAAAATGTAGGTTTTTGACAATGTGAAGAATAGACACATCAGAGGGGCAGTATAGAAAGACACCAAAACTCCCTGGAGCTCTATTATTGAGCAAATCTATACAGTAACAGTCACCAACAAAAGAACTACAGTTGTGAAGGCAGTTTTTAAAGTGGGGGAAGTGTACACGTGGAGTCTGAGAATGATTTTTTTCCAATATTAAAAACAAAACAAAAAAACTTTTTGTTACAGGGCATGTGTGCACACCAGAGAGAGAGAGAAAAAAGGAAAATGAGAAAGCACCTTCCAGGGCTTGATGGTCACATTGTAATCCCTTCTCCCAGAGGAGCATCTGGCTCCTTCACATGGAATTCTCCTCTCGGGATTTTGGGCATGCATCCATACATGCCAAGTATGTTTATCAAGCTGCTTGGTCTGGGACTCAAAATATGCAGTTGGCTATGTGGGATCCAGCTGCCTTAACCTCCATGCCATCTGCTGGCCTGCAGTCTGAGATTGTTTTTATGATGATGGCATCACCTCTGGATTGTAACCAGAGCTGTATTGTCAGGATTCTTTGTTTCAGGCAATGGAAACCATGTGTCTAACCTGGACAGGAAATAGGTGACTTAGAAATCAAGATCTGGCACAGAATTGATGCAGAGGCTTAAGAATCAGGCTTAAAAAATGGACTAGCAGCAAAGGCACAAAAGATAGTCAGGCCACCTGTCGGAGCATTCAGGTTAAAAGGGCGCTGCTGACCTTACCACTGTGGGCACTTGAAGCCACCTCTGATGGAGACTCTATGTTGATCTTCCTCTGGACTCAGGCATGATTTCTCAAATATGCATGTATCTGGTCACTTTTCCAAGGTAAAAGTTACAGTTTCCAGGAACTGAATGAGGGAATCTGGTCACTGCTGGAGCTGATGCTGCTGGTAGCAGAAAGGAGGAGAATCTGGCTCCTTTACTTGGGAAGAACACAGAATTCTGCCTCCCACCAAGACTTTCACCCTGAAGAATCAGGCCTGGGTTTGAATGACTGTAGGCAAAACAAACAAACCATCACAAACACAAACAAAAAACTCCCAAAATGCCTTGTTAAAAAATATTCAGACTGGGACCAACTAATGGCAAAGTTGTTATGTTGCTGAACTCCAAAGCAGTCAATCACAATTGGAGTCCCAGACCTGGTGGCTTAAAACTCATGCCAGTCACATGTGTGTGTGTGTGCCCAAAATCCTGAGAGGAGAATGGAGGAGAAGGGATTGCAGCATGGTCATCCTCCCTGGGGGGTGATTTCTCACTTTCTGTCCCTCTGGTAAGCACACATGTCCTCTAGCAAAAATCTCAATTAAAAACAAATATTTAGACCAATTCAGAGACAGGAATAATTCATTTTGTTCAGGATCATCACAACTGTGGAGATAGCAGTAAACTCAAATGTGATACTAGTTAAATATATATGCCACTTATTTTACTACTTATGTGGTAAATAGCTGGTGAATCTTCTCAGCGCTATGTGAATATTAATTTGGTCTATCTTCACATCGACTCATTACCATCATCATGTCTATTTTGTGGATGGGTAAAATGAATCATAAAGAAATTAAGTAACTGGGTTAAAATTACATAGTCCATCGGTGGTAGGAGAGAAATCTGAAGCTGAGCATCTGTGGTCCCAGGGCTAATGTTCTAACCACTATCTTGCATTTAGCAATTTATAGGTATTTAACAAAACATTCAATAAGTAATAAATAATTTATTGTATTAGGTGGATTCTGCCCTCTGAACTATCTTGTCTTTATATAGAGAACCCCTTCACATATTTTATTTTATTTTATTAGAGGGATTTTGGCTATAGGGCATGTGTGCTTGCTGGAGACACAGAGACAGAGAGAGAGACAGAAAGTGAGAAATCATTCCCCAAAGGGGATGGCTATGCTGAAATCCCTTCTCCTCCATTCTCCTCTTGGGAGTTTAGGCATGCACACACATGTGCCTTGCTTGAATTTTAAGCCACTCGGTCCGGGATTTGAACTGTGGTTGACTATCTGGTAGTCCAGCGATGTAATCACTATACCATCTGCTGGTCTTCCCCTTCACATATTTTAAGGAGAAGTCACTGAGCATAGTGCTATAATTTAAAGTTATAATCAAGCAACTTATGTCCAGAGTTGAAAGACCAGATAAACAGCAGATGTTACAGGATATTTCATGAAGAGAAAAGGCTTTTTTTACCCTTTTTTGTGTGTCCCAGGGAACGTACTTTCCAACTCCTTTTGCAAATGATTTGTCTGTCCTTCTTATCCCTTTATGTGATTATTCGGTGGTTTTATTTTTAAAGTTCAACTCAACTAACATACGTGGAGTATCTGACATGGGTCACACACTGTGCTTAGAAAGTTCAAAGAGTCAAAAGACTTGGCCTCTGTCCTTAAAATTTTTGGCAGCCAAACTCAGATTTCTAAAAGTAAAGCATCAAGTGAGGCAACAGACTGCTTTTTGACTTTAGCAATAAATTTCCATTAAAAAGACAAGATCTCTTATCTTTCTCAAGAGATTACCCTATTTTGATGTTTTTCACATTAGAAAAAAGAGATTTGCCATGACTGACGGATAGTTGTGATACTCAGAACTATCTCTGATGTAAGATAAAAATTGTCATTACTTTTTAAACTCATTTGGCATTTGAGAACTAGGACTCTCCTTTTCTCTCCGTGCTTTGTTTATGTCACTGACCCCAAAACCACAGAAGCAAGGGAGGCCAAACTCAGATCCCTCATCAGATAACTGCCATTTCCCTTTACCTCACATCCTGAGCAAATGTGAATGCTGTGCTCAGCCCTCCAAGGATCTTCTTCTTAGCTCATGTTTACTGTCTTTACATTAGAAACTTACTTGTTTCATGTTCCCTGAATATAAATTAGAAAGTAGAAACAACATGTTTTATCCAATAAGGAATTACATACTTTGGCATATGAAATAACAGGAACTAGCAGTACTTCCTAGGGCTGAGGCTATCTTTTCTGTTAAAGCTTCTATGTTTCCTCTTCTGTAGATTCTTCACCTTGCACAAAGATCTGTGGTGGGCGTCCACAAGTATAAGACACAACGGTGTGCTGCAAGATGATGTACGCTGGGTACTGGTTTTAACTTCCTAATTTTGTGAGTATGGTGTTTTCCTTTGTGTCACCTTGGTACTTCTCATCTAGTCACATTATTGTGACTCTATGTGCTATACGCAAACCATAGCTATAAAGTTTCAGGTTTGGCAGGAAGCTTCACATTTACTTGACTTGCAACCACAGTTTGCTTCCGTGGGTGCGTCAGCTCATGCTTAAAATATCACGTTAGAACAAATGGATCTGGGATAGTTCTGCAAACGTAAATCCTGACTCATTTCTGTGGTGGTGCTGGGGAGGCGGAGACTTCAGATATGTGCTGTAGCTGGAAAAGAAGAAACCAAAGAAAGTATAAGTGGCCTGTGCATAGACTACATAACTTATCACCCACAAAGGAACATTTCTGAGAGTGAAAAGGGCACTATTGATAAATATGTTGGAGGGCCAGAAGATAGATAAGAGTGGAGGTGTAGGCACTGGATCCCACATGGTCAGCTATACCTACCATTCAGGTCCTGGACCCAGCATCTAAAAAATCAAGTCAGGTATGTGTGCGTGCATGCCCAAAATTGCGAGAGGAGAATGGAAAAGGGATTGTTGTGTGGCCATATGCCTTGGGGTGTGTGTGTGGGGGGTGATTTCTCACTTTCCCTCTCCGTTTGTCTGTCTGTCTCTGGCAAGCACACATGCTCTATAGCAAACAAACAAACAAAAATTATGTTGGAACAATACATGTAAGCCCGAACTATCCTTGGTAATCCAGAATAGGCATTTTTTTTTTTTTTTGGAGAGGTTTTCACTATAGGGCGCGTGCGCTTGCCAGACAGACAGAGAGAGACATAGAGACAGAAAGCAAGAAATCACCCCCCAGAGGGGATGGTCACGCCGCAATCCCTTCTCCTCTATTCTCCTCTTGGGATCTTGGGCATGCACGCACCCGTGCCCAGCGTGAGTTTTAAGCCACCGGGTCTGGGACGCGAACCGCGGTTGACTACGTGGGAGTCTAGCGACATAGCCATTACGCTAACTGCTGGTTCCCCCCAGAATAGGCATATTTTAAAAAGAAGAGAAACATAACCTACTATTAAGAATTTAGGGATATCCCATAAACCCAATGAGGGAGATATGGGTTTTCCCAGACAGAGATTAGGTCTCCTAATATAACTGTGATTCTGAAACATTTTCATTTTGCTAGCGGGCATGTGTGCTTGCCAGAGAGAGGGAGAGGAAGAAAGGAACCCCTAAAAGGATGTAGTCACACTGCAACCCCTCTCCTTCATTTCTCCATCCTGTCAGGCACTTTTGTACACAATGCCAGGTATGTTTTCCAAGCTGCCGAGACCAAGACTGGAACCAAGCAGTTGACTGTGTGGGATCTAACTCTTAACCATTAGGCCACAGGGCCAGCGCAGGGTCCTGAAACTTAAATTTAGATTTGGGGTTAAGGGCAAAATAATCAGATTCTAAATAGGCCGCTGGAGACAAAGCCTCAGGTATCATAACGTCTCCAGGTCTTGACCTTGCCATTCTGGTGTGACTCAGCCTTGAGTGGGCACGGATAATCAATTACATATTCTGTTCGAGAGACCAGAAAAGCTTTGTCTGCAGCCTATTGGGAGTCCCTTTTTTATTAGTAATAAATTAATGGAAAATTTCAGCCAATGATAGAAATCCCAAGGCAATTCACGACTGTTCTGTCAATACAGGCTTATCCACCTTGGATCATTTCACCTGAGTGGGAGACAGTTTACAAGGCTGTAAGGAGTCAAAATTCTACCTCTATCCCAACTCCCCAGCAGTCCAGGTTAGGTCCAAAAATTAATCAGGCATAAAGTAGATTAAAAGGAGAGAAACATACACATTTATTTATGTGGTTCTAGAGTACTGATTAGGAAAAGGAACGCCAAAAAGCAGTCAGAGGCAATCACAGGCAGTCATTCTCGTCTACAGAACTGGACAAAAAGTAGTAAGTTGAAAAGCATAATAAAGCCAAAGGGCTTGGGTTAGGGTATTTAATTAGGTAGATAAGTAAGTAGGAAGATAAAGGTAGATTTAACAAGGTTTGTCCAGCTTTCCCTTGGTTTTAACTTTCTGCCCTTAATAATTTTTTTTTTTAATAGGAGGACATCTTTAACATAAATTCATTTGCTTTTAAAAAACAGAATAATGCTAGCCAGTGGTGTGGTTAAAGCAGCTGGTTCCCACAAGCCCGACTGAATTGTTTCTGGTTCTGGACTTTGCAGCTTAAAAAAAATTTCCTGGTACATGTGCATGCATACCCCAAATCTGCAAAAAGGGAAAAATAGAGAAGGGTTTACAGTAACCATTCCCCATGTGGTGCTTTCTCACTCCGTCTCTCTCTCTCTGGAGAGCGTATGTATCCTTTCGCAAACTGAAACGGAAAAGAAAAAAGAGTGAACTTACATCTGCTTTTATTTAATTATTTTTAAAGTGTCTTTAATTCAAAACTGCCAATATACTAGAGTAGCATATTTTGGGGTGGCATATTAATTTCTTCAAGCCTAAAAGCCCTGAATTTTCCAGGGTAGTTACCAGAAAGCAAAACTCTTTCAGCCAACCTTTGGCAAGTGTGAATGAATTCAACTATGATTCACTGAGTACCTGGTACCTTACTTTTATCTCGTTAAATTATGTGTACCCCATGCCAAATGCTCTTGTTTCATTTTACATAAGAGACGGCCCAGGCTCTGAAAGCTAAATGAATAACCAAGGTGAACAGCTTAAAACTGGGACTGGGGCTTCAAGTCTGGTCCTTTGGCTGCTCTGCTATAGATCAGCTCCAGGTAGGTGCGTCCTGAGATGGGGAGGAGGTCCATGGTGGGCCACTAACGGCCATACTTCCTCGGTTGTGCCTTGGACATCCTCGTTCCTTTCGCTTCAAGGCTCCAGGAGCTGAGGCCGGAAGTAAAGCCGCCAAGTGAGTCCACGTGATGGCCCAAGCCCCATCAGTGACGCGTGAGCGACAAAATCAGGTTTGCTCTGCCCGCCCTCTACACTACAGCGCCGGTAAGCGCGCCGGTGACCCGCACTCAAAATGGCGACGGCGGCGTCAGCGGCTTTCTGCCCTTCTCCATCATGGCGGCGACCAAACTCGCCTCTTGGGGCGCAAGAGTCATGTGACCCACACAATGGCTGAGCGCCTACTCGAGGGTCCCCGGCAACGCCGAGGGCAAGTCATGACGGCCGCTGCGGGTTCGGCGTGCCGCGCCGCGCTGCCCCTGCTGCTGGGCACACTGCTGGCGCCCGGCGGCGCGTACGTACTCGACGACTCCGACGGGCTGGGCCGGGAGTTCGACGGCATCGGCGCGGTCAGCGGCGGCGGGGTGAGCGGCGGGTGGCTGGCGGCGCCCCACAAGCCCCCGCGGCGTCGCCCAGCATTTCGACGCGCTGGCGTCGGGCCGGCTTCCTCACCGCGGGCGCCCCGCCGGGGGGGGGGGGGG